ATATATATAACAGACCCCCTTCAGGTGTATGTATACACCTCAACTAACACAGTCATCCATCTGCATTTCTATCTGATATTGCTGTTGCTACTGTTGCTGCTGCTGCTGTTGTTGTTGTTGCTGCTGCTGCTGCTGCTGTTCTATTCTCTATTAGCAGTGATACTCCTTCATTATAAATATATTTTAATAGACAGTCAAAGCAGCAGCAAACATTTTTTAACAGTAGTTCTGCAGCAAAAAATAAAGTGCTGCTGCATGCATGCATTTATTTGCATGCACAGCAAACCCCCGCTGCTGCTGCTGTTTGTGCTGCAGCAGTAACGCTGCAGCATCTCTAGCAGCAGCAGCAGCAGGTAACTGCAGCAAACTCCAACTGCTGCTGCTCCAGCAGCAGCAGGTGCAACTGCAGCTGCAACAAACTCCAAATGCTGCTGCTGCTGCTGCTGCAGCAGCAGCAGCAGCAGCAGCAGCAAGAGAACAGAGTAGAGGGAGTTAATGATATATATTTTTTAGTCTTCTACAAGCTGTGTATTTCCGCTTGGCTTCGGCAGCGCTCTCCCGCTAAAATAATAATTAGAATGCAGCAGAGATCCAAATGTTACAAACGCCTGAGCAGCAGCAGCAGCAGCAGCAACAGAATAACCACAGCAGCAGCAGCAACAACAACAGAATAACCACAGCAGCAGCAGCAACAGAATAACCACAGCAGCAGCAGCAACAGCATAATCGCTGCAGCAGCAGCAACAGCATAATCGCTGCAGCAGCAGCAACAGCATAACCAGAGCAGCAGCAGCAACAGCATAACCACAGCACCAGCAGCAGCAGCAGCAGCAGCAGCAGCAGAAGCAAGTGTGTTTCTCACCATAAGGAAGGCCCAGGCAAACCAAACATAATAAGCCATCGGGGATTGAATGCATGTTGCAACTTGAGAACAAACATAATAATCTTCAAGACCTCCTCTTCGAGGTGAAGAGAGACGCATGCAGCCCCACCTAGCTGCTGCTGCTCCTGCTGTTGCTGCAGTTGCTGCAGTTGGTGCTGTTGATGCTGTTGTTGCTGCTGTTTGCATGCGCCGCATGCATGCAGCGTCAACTGCATGCCGAGAATGAGCAGCAGCAGGAATAGCAGCAGCAACAGCAGCAGCAGGAGCTGCAGCAGGAGCTGCAGCAGAATGCAGCAGCAGAGCAAAAGAAGAGCTGATAGGCCTGAGGCCTCGAGCGCACAACAAAGTACGTTGTACAAACATTTTTAAAATAATAAATGAATAATAAAAAGAAAAAAAGAGAAGACTCAACTCAACTGCGTCTGTTTGCTGTTCAGGTGTATAGGCAGCTTAGAAGTAGCAGAAGCAGCAGCTGCAGCAGCAGCAGCAAAGTCTGAAGAAGAAGAAGAAATTGCAAGTAAATATAAATTTAAGTTTTAATTTACTTTTTATATTTTGCTCAATATATTTATTCTTCAAACAGAAGAAAACAGAAAAATATAAATAACAACACATAAAGCCCCAGCCTGTGCATGCGTATCATTCATATTATTTTATCTTGCGATAAAATAATAAAATAAACAAATAAACAAACGCATAAATAAATAAATAAATAAATAAAAATAAGTAAAGTTATCCTTTTTAATATTTTATAATATTAAATGCAAATATATTTTTTTGTTTATTTTCTGGTTCTATCCCTTAGATAGACGGAGCTGCCTATACACCTCACAGGTTTCATATATATGTATATTATATATATAGATTATATCTATAATATATAATATATAATATATATATATTATATATATACATAATATATATATATAGATTATATCTATATATATATATGTATATTGTTGTCTTCATCCTATTTACTTATATATATGTATATAATATATATATATA